AAGAGGAAGCCGCTGAAGACGCTGTCGGCTTCCGTCCCGGCGTAGATGTTGGCCGCACCTGGCGGATCGCTGTCCAGCCACACCTGGTCGCCCGGAGCCAGGTTCAGGACGCTGCCCCCCGAGTTGACCTGCAGGAGGCCCTGGCTCTGGTCGCAGAAGGTGGCCACCGACTGGTCCCTGTGCATCAGGTCCAGGCAGAGGCTGCCCTTGGAGATCACCTGGAAGGTGAAATAATAATAGCCCGGCACCCGGCAGGTGAATTTCCCCGTCTGGGTGCTGTAGGCGTTATCCTGGTTGGTGATGCTGTGGTCGAACACCACGGTTTTGGGGGAGACGCCCGGAGACGGGTTCTTGCGGGACGCCGAGAAGGCCGTCTTGGGCTGGTCCTGCAGGTTCCCCACTTGGCCTTTGGGGCCACGGTCCCCCGGTTCTCCGGGGGGGCCCGGGGGGCCATCCAGGCCTCGGAAACCTTGGCTGCCCGGCTCTCCCGGGAGGCCGGCCTCCCCCGGTTCGCCTTTCGGGCCCCGGATGCCGCTGCTCCGTGTCCCCAAGCCTGGAACAGGGGAAAAAAGTGTGTGTGTGAGAGAGAAAAAAATCGGGTGGGAAGGGCCCCTCAGAGGTCATCTAGGCCAACCCTCCCTGCTGGAGCAAAGTTGAGGGGGCGGGCATCATTTTTTTTTATTTTACCTGGGGCACCCAGGTCTCCTTTTTGGCCCGGTCTTCCATTCAGGCCCGGGGCTCCCGGATGCCCGTCTCTGCCGTCCGACGCTTTGCAAACGTTTTGCTGGCCAGCCACGATCTTCAACGTCAGGATCAGGGCAGCCGCTGCAAACCACAGGGGGCTCGCCATCTTGACTCTGTAGCTGTGAGCAGAGAAAGGGGGGTGTCATTCTCTTCCGTTATTCTATTATCCTGTCATTCTATTCTGTTATTCTATCATGCTGTTATTCTATTATTCTGTTATTCTATCAATCTGCTATTCTATTACTATTTTATTCTATCATTCTGTTATTCTGTTATTCTATCAATCTGTTATTCTATTATTTTATTCTATCATTCTTTTATTCTATCATTCTGTTATTCTATTATTCTGTTATTCTATCATTTTATTATTCTGTCATTCTAGTCTGTTATTCTATCATTCTGTCATTCTATCTGTCGTTCTGTCTGTTATTCTGTCATTCTGTTGTTCTGTCACTCTGTCATTCCGTATGAAACGGTTTCCTGCTCAAGCAGAAGGTTGGACTAGAAGACCTCCAGGGTCCCTTCCAACTCCGTTGTGCTGCTCTGTTCCACTGAGCAAAAGGAGATACCAACTTACTACAGAGTTTTCAAACCTTAAGCTTCTGTAAGCTTCAGGTTTAGTCTTGGATTTACACAGAGAAGAACCCCGAAATGACATAATTATCATCATCATCATCATAAGTAGAAACAAGGGGTCTTGGGAAGAGCTACAAGAAACACCGTCTGCCTGTGAGGAAAAACCGGTGGGACCCCAAAACAAACAGGAACGGAAGAGGCTAAAGTGCCCTGGAAAATCCAGAATTTGAACCCCACCCCTTCTCTTCAGGCTATCCAAGGACTAGATGACCCACAGGGTCCCTTCCGACTCTCTTCAAAGGTTGAAGAAACACGGTTCCTGGATCTTGCTGGGCAGGAAATCCAGGGGAACCTCAACTGCTTTAAAACGAGGGACCAGCACAGCAGCAGCCATCACTTCCAACCATCCGCTGAAGGATTGTCCACCAGGAAAAAGGCCCAAAAGGGCCAAGTTGGGGGATAATCCTGAAGTTGAACTGAAGACCCCTCAGGAAGGAGACCCCAAAATACCACTTACCTCCTTGGAAAGAAGACCAGAACCCGACCAGGTTTCTGGAGACAAACGTCCCACTTGGGTGCAGGAAGGACGATGGGACGGAGGAGGAGAAGTCCTAGATGGCCGAGTTTGGCTGAGTAAGAGAAAATGAAGTTTCCCTTCCTTCTTTCCCGCTTTCAATTGCTTCCTCCTGCTTGCGGCCACAAGCAAATGGTGACTTTCGAAACAGAGAAGGTTGCGCCCATCGCCTTCTCCTCCTTCCAAAAAGAAGGGGAAATCAAAATTTGCAGAAGGTACCAAGATGGGGGTGAATCACCCCTACTTTAGTAAATAGCCTCAAGAGGCAGAAGGAGGTGGACAGACTTGAGCATTATATTTAACAAAATAAAATTCAGTGGTTGAGAAAAGTAAAGGTTTACATTTAGAATTTTAACTCTCACATCCTGGACATAAACTGTTTCAACTCCTTCCCTCAAAACGAAGCGATGGATCCTTGCACACCAGAACAACTAGACACAAGGACAGTTTTTTTCCCCTCTTCCATCGCTCTGCTAAACAAATAATTCCCTCAACGCTGTCCAACTATTTACAAAGTCTGCACTACTATGACTATCGTTCTCCTCCTCCTTCCTAGTACTTATCTCTTCCCACTTATAACTGTGTTGCTTGTATCTTTACAATTTATATTGTTTTATTTGTTTTCCTAGTATGATTTGATTGCTTATTAGTAACCTGTGACCATCACTAAGTGTTGTATCTTATGATTTTTGATGAATGTATATTAGTTTTTATTTATGGACGCTGAGAGCTTATGCACCAAAGACAAATTCCTTGTGTGTCCAATCAGAGAAAAAAATTAATCAGTTGTCTCCAGAAGTTGTGGTCTCTAGAGGTTTTCAAGAAGAGATTGGACAGCCATTTGGTCTAGGGTCTCCTGCTTGAGCAGAGGGTTGGAATAGATGACCTCCAAGGTCCCTTCCAGTGCTACGGTTCTATGTTCTTACAATCGAGTAGAATGAACTTCTCCGTTTCCTCTCCAGCCCATCAGATACAGCTGATATCAATCTTGTTCGGTCTAAAAACACAACGTTTACAGCTTCAGAAACTAGGGAGGCCCATTTTGTGAGCCCATTGTGTAGCTGAGGGCTACGCAGTCTCTTATCTTGCAAAACTACACTCACCGGATCCTGCCAAGATTGAAATCCCACCGTCTTATTTTGATCGTTTATTTAAAGCATGAAGTCTTGCGTGTCCATTGGCACACACGAAATACGGCAAGTGAAACACGATGGGAAGCGTCTTGCTGAAGAAAGCAAATTTGAATCCTTGTTGTTATTATTTATCTGGTGTCTCCTGACCAGTTTTGCTGAAGCAACAGCGAACCTTCTGCTTTTTCGCCTGGGAAAACACGCTCCTTCCTTCTTTTGATCCGGCCAATTTTCATCACTTTGCAATTTTATTTTATTTTATTTTGCTCTCGTGCAACCAGACAGAGATAAATTAAAAGCATGGGGCGTTTTGGGGGGCATTTATAAAAAGGAAAAGGAGACTTTAGGAGTGGCCAGGGGGGAGGAAGTGACCTGCAGCTGCTCTTCCAGTTTTTGTAGGACAAATCTCTGGATGTGACTTTGTACCCTGGAAAAAGAGGAACACAACAGGCGCCGACAGATTGCAAAGTCGCACTGCCTGACTGTTGAAATCAGGGAGCTAATGTTAAACCCACAACTTCTGCTGGCAAGCAGTGCCATGGGTTAATGGTCCTCATTTTTAGGACATTCCTCCTTAATTCCAGATGGCTTCCCTCCTTGGTTAGATTGTCAATGGGGAAACATCCCTCAGCCAGTCAAGGCACCTGTCCCAGGTGAGGAGCTGAGCTTGGCATGAGGAGACGGGATTGGGGAGCATTTTCGGTGACATCCCCCCGTCTCTTCCCTGCGACACGCAGATAATGGAATCACCCCACTGTGGGTTGGTGCCCGTGGCTAATTTAGTGCAAAGGCCTCCCGTGAAGAGATCTGGCCGTGGGCCGGCACTGCAACTTAATCTGGTCCCTGGAGGTTCTGGGCGCCTGAGGTTTTGGCATCGTGACCCCAAAAGGTAAAGAGAGTGAGTGGGGTTGGAGTCACTCCCCCTAAATGACACCCCCGGTTGAGCAACCGAGGTTAAAAATAGATCATCCTAGATTAGCGTTTCTCAAACTTTGAGATGGGTGGACTACAACACCCAGAAATTGAGTTCCACCCTGTCTGTCATGTTCCCGTTGGAGTCAGAATCTGCGGGGGAAGATGATCTGGAATTGGTGCAGACAGAGATCAAGGGGGCAGCTTTGTTGGCCTCGGAGGAAAACGGGGAGGAGCAGGGCCTTTCAGGATTGGGATGGATTGTAGGCAGGGAGGAAGAGGGGTGCAGGATGACCAGGAGTGGCTAAGCAGAGATAGAACTCAGGTGATGAGCAGGGATCGCCCCCTCCTGATCCGAGAGTACGGAGAGTGGAAAGAAGGCGAGAACATCCCATGGATTTTGCCATGTCTGTAACCGGATTATTTTTATTTATATTAATTTTCGCGATTCCTTTTCTCCACCTGCAATGACGCAAAATGGCCACGAGACGGCGGGCTATTATTATTAAGTTTTTTTTCTCCACCTGCAATGACGAAAAATGGCCACGAGATGGCAGAC